TGGCCTGTATTTACTAATTTTTCTACTATGGGAATTATTTTTTAAGCACAGAGACAACAAAACAAATTATAATGTCAGTGGGGGGAAACTCAAACCTAAAATTTTTATCAAGTACTATTTAATGAAAAAAATCACCATTGACCACTTGGAATGTGCTCTTAGCAGGTCCTAAACCTAGGAACATGAAATTGATTATTAAGATTAGCATTAAACAAGAAAAATAGAATAGAATATAAAATTTGAGAACAAAGGAATAAATGAGAGTATTATTCAATAATTTTGTACTTTGCACTGTGATATAAACTGCATTTACTACTATGGATTCTAGTGAAAAAATTTGTTTCAAGATCAAATTTAAAATAATTGGCTATTTAAATTACTCCAGCTTTTAATAATTAGAAAAAGTCAAGTGGAGCTAGGGATACAGGTCTGTGATAGAGGGCTTGCCTAGCACAGGCACTAACCTGAGTTCTATCCCAAGGCACTGCCAAAACAAACAAGAAATAGAGCTCAAGAGTAGCTAGAACTGGTTCACCAGGAGTTAGAAAAGAAACAAGGAGTGGGGTAGGCTCAAAATCCCAAAGAACAAACAAAGGGAAACCATGACTAAAACTACATAGAACAAAAATGATTACAACCTGGAAACCAGACACCAATGACACTACTCATATTGTATGGCACTAAAAGTAAAGCTAAAGATTTATTCTGCCTTGTGTATCTGCCCGCTTCTAGACTACTTTAATCATCAATAAAACCTCATTTCTACAGAACCTGTTCTAGCAGACCCCGAACTAATTTAACACACTCTTGCATCAATAAATATAGGCTTAACTTCTAACCCAATTAAAGAAACAGTTTAGGCTTAAAAGTTATAAAATGAGAGAATCGTAATTACAAAAGAATTACAGGGATTTTGTCTTCTTAAAGCAAATCAGAAAAACTTTTTAAACAAAATATGTTTTGCTCTTAAATGAAATTGTATATATTTGAAAAGACCTATGCCTTTAAAGCAATTTATGATATTCTTGAATCTTACCTAAATATGCCTAAATATTCTTAATTACCTAGGTCTATTTTTTGAAAAGCTTAAATATTCATAATATTGTAAGATACTTCAAGAAATACTTATTTGCTTAATGTCATTATAAAAACCTCATTTCTTTAAAGAAATCACTTTTCTCTCAAGATTCTTACCTTTCCATTTTTATGCAGTCCCACAGATTAATGATTACTTTCACAAAGACATAGCATACTATTAAGATATTTCATGCAGGCCTCAGCACTAAAACAAATCAATTTTAGCAGTAGTAATTCTCCATAGACTACCGATTTCTAGACTAGACAGACAAACATCTGCAAATCCAGTGAAACTATTTGTAAAGTGGATCATCTTCAAGTAGAAGCAAATTCATGAGTACAGTGGTTGCTTTTGGCACCTCACTTCTTTTCCATTTCATGGATTACTTTAGTGAGAAACAATACCAACAGCAAACAAAGCTCAAAGGAAAAAAAAATCCCCAAGAATTTCAAAATGATGCTGTTAGTATAAGAAAGACAGGTCAACATCTCAAAGCGTTGATCAACACCATCATGCATCTATCTCTAGGGTTATAACAAGCCCAATGCCTAATATTTAACTATTTGATCTTCCCAGATCAAGCAAGGACTTGAAATCATCTCACGTGCAACAGTCTTTGCATAGTGCCATTTTATCCATGCCACAAAAATGGTAAATTTAGTAGTTACCAATAAATAAGTTGGGGGTCAAAGGAACTAAAGTCTTAGACTGTTCTTTATCATAAGATATCCTCAGACAAACCTCCCCATTCTTCATTCTGGCTCTATAAAATTAAGGAGCAGAGAAAAACTGGTAAGTGCCTGACTTCACAGGGGGGAAAAGCCATACTATTATTTCCTTTGTCATTATCAATATATATGTTTATAAAATAAATTCAGCTGCATCATTATACCTCACCTTACCACCCAAAACTAGGTATGTGGGAAGGGAAATATGCTAAGCATTATAAAGAATATAACTTCATTAATCTCAGCATGTCATATCTTAATTTAAAAATCAACTTTAGTACCAGTGGCATGTTGAGATGACATGTTTTGAATTCCAAGAGTCAAATACTAAAAATTGAATAATGGGATAATTTCTGAGCTTTCCCTCCCAAAGTTAATTATGAATTCATGTAGCCAAAAGGTCTAAACACAGAATTGGTCTACAAATGTCAAATATGAAAAATATAAAGTTAAACCATAATGCTTACTAATATTTTGGCAGTTATCATTCAGATATGCATTTGTTTTATTCTTATTACTAATTGTAGCATAACAGAAGAAAATCTACTTTAACCACTGACATCTGCTCTCCCTGCTTGCCCATAAAATGAAAGACTGCCTTATTTACATATTCATAGAAATTGGGCAAAAGCAACATTTTAATAAATTTTCTGATTAGAATTAAGAATAGAAGTATATATTTCACAAATTATAAAAATATATAAAATCAAAATTATTCTAATTTGTATATAATATTAAGCTAACAGATTAAGTTCATTCTTAATTCAAAATTATCTTTAGTGCTTAAAACAGTCCAAATAAAGACTTTGACATTAGATAGAAAAGTTATAATACATGAAAAATACATTTAAATCAGGTTTTTAGTACTTTTACTGCAAATTTTAGGATACATTTATCTAAAATAGCTATACTTAAACAATTTTAGAAATGAAATCACTCAAGGACACTGACAAAGTGACTGCTATATTTCAAAATATAAGACCTGGAAAGTTATTATAGACCTATGCATTTTGATAAATCTTAACAAGGAGACTTTTGAGAAAATACTGTCAATAAATCTACATATTCAATAAAAGGTTCTAGCTTCTGATAATGACAGTAGTGAACATGCCTAAGAAGTAATAAATAGCACATACTGCTACAATAATGCTTTGTATTCCCTCATAGGGTAAATACATACTATCAAGTAAGCATGAAACTGTTTTATTAGAAAGCACAGAGCAATATTCCAGAAGCATTTTAAAAAGTAACTCAGGAACAAGAAGATATTGGGGCCCTAAGCATTACTCTCTAGGAACACATTAAAAGCAAAAAACTGAGCTTTAATAGCTTTAAAAGTGTCTTCAAAACAAGAAAAATTTTACCAGAAAATGGCGAAAAACAGAAGAAATACCAAGTTCTGATATAAGAGGTTATAGTTCTATAATAATTAAACATTATTAAGACAAGACACAAATATGAATAATTTCCAATTCCTAATACTGGGGACTATCTTTTGGTTAGTTTTATTGTTTGTTTTTGTCAGGGCCTCAGGTTGCTCAGGCTTCCTTCAAAATTTACTTTGTAGCCCAGACCTTGAACTCCTGATTCTTCTGTCTCCACTTCACAAGTGCTAAGACAACAGGCACATATCTGGTTTATACTAAGGTCTGAAATTATGGCTTCATGCAATCTAGGCAAACACTCTTCCAGCTGAGCTACATCTCCAGCTTGACCTAATCATTTTTGAATATTGCTGTTGTTTCTCTTAAGTTTGATTAGCAAACAACAAAAAGGAGATGCTAACTTTAAAACCAATATTATAACAGTAGAATATACTCTTGGAGTCAGCATACTTGATGTTAAAATTACAAACCTTCAAAATGACATGTTTGTAATCAATTAATAAACTACCATGGCAAACTGCACACAAGGAAAAAGGTCTGTGCTCATTTGACTACCAAACAGCAGATGGCATGAGGGGCCATCACTGAAATACTTCAGTTTTGCACTTAAAGCCATTTTTCTGATAACTACAACATCATTAAACACACAGTTCACTATCTCATATTTAATAGTTGTAGACTCTGGATGATATTAACACAACCTAAAGCAGGCTCTAGCTGACTGATGGTGTGGATTCACTAGGAGTTCCCTCCACCACAGAGGCCAAAAGTAAAGAAATTTTAACAGAAAATTCAAGTTATTCTTCTCCCCTTAGTCATTTCTTTAAAGCTAGCCATTTCAGAAATACTAAGAAATTTAATTTAAAGTCTGTTTTACTAATTAAAAATGTAATAAATATACAATAAATAAAGGGTTAAAATAAACTAAGAATACAAATATGCTTTAATAAGTGAACCCATGGGACACAAATATTCATTTATGTCATAAATATAATATATATAGCTACCTTAATGAAAATACCCTATTTTTTCCTTTACTAACCCATTTTCATGCTAAACTTTCTATATTGTAACAACCACAATTAGTTCTAACCTATAATTTAATTTGCTACCTAAGCATCAAACACACGATTAGCTGAGGATGTTGAAGGCAATTAGAAGGGAAAGGGGTTGCTATGGTTCTGGGATATGGAAGTTAAGACAGGAATATAATAGTTTTGACAGAACATGGTTAGTAATTTCAAATGAACAAAGAGAAGTACAAATTCATTTTAAGTTAATTTTGTTAACACAAAGCCAGAGGGTTCTATAAAAAGCATAATTAGAAAACACTAACATTTGCTTGGCTACATTTGCACTTAATGGACATGAGGTGAAAACATGAACCAATTTGGAAAGGAAATGCCATAATCTCACATTCAACTCCTAATTATCCCACTAATGAAAAAGGTGGGGGGATTTTAAGTATTTCAAAACAAAGGATGAGAAGTTCTCAAATGATTGTTGGTTTTGTCCAATTATTTCCCCCTTTAATATATAATTTATTTATCTAATTATTCATTTACTTATTTTAATTGAAGTAGTCTGTCCTCTAAATCAGCCTCACTGGCAGGCCATCTCCATAGAGAACCATTCATCCATAGATAACAGAGTTGATGTGAATGACACATATTCCAGTCAAATTGTACATGAACACTACATACCAAGCATGCTTTGAAGTAATTTCTGAAACCTGTAGGGATGATGACTGAGATTTCCCTAGCAAAAGCAAAACATGCTAGTTTCTTTTTGGGAGCCTAAGTAGCTTACCTCCTGCAGGAGATCAGCCTGTTCAATTGCTTTAAGGACATTTTTCTTGGACGTTTCCTGAACTTCTCCGCCCAAAAGAAATTCATCCAAAATAAAATAGGCCTTCTCAAAATTAAAGATGATATCAAGTTCACACACCTGAAAAGCAAAAGCAAAATGAAACAAAACAAAACAAAGCCTGTTAAGCTAAAGATGCTTATTCACTATAAAATCTGATGAGATTGAATTGATTTTAATTCTTTTCAAAATGGAAACCTTGCCGATTAAGCACCATTGATTTGAGTAAGCTTAATTTTTAAATCTCAAGTACTTGACAACACAGTGCCTATAAGTAAGACCTGGCTCTGCATACACTCTGTGTAGTCAACTTAATAGTTTTCCACTCATAAAAACTGATCTTTAAAAACATATTTCTTGAGTAATGTGATTAAGCTGCTAACAATTCTGAAAGCTATACTTCACACTTCCAGGATGCTAATGTCAGCAACAGGCCATTTCTATTTCATGTGTGTGTGTGTGTGTGTGTGTGTGTGTGTGTGTGTGTGTGTATTCGGGTAGCATTTTCGGGTACCAGTGTGCAAATGGGTGTTGTTTCTCTGGAGTCATCTACCTGGTTTTTAGAGACAGGGTCTCTCACTGGGATCTAGGCCCTAGGCTGGCTGGTTTGTGAGCTCCAGAGATCCACCTGTCTCCACTCTCCAAGGAATTAAAAGTGAAAGCTAGGGTCTGGAGAAATGGCTCAGCAATTAAAAGCACTATCTGCTCTTCCAGAGGACCAATTCCAATTCCCAGCACTTACATGTAACTCACAAGCACCTGTATCTCTACTTTCAGGGGGATTTGACACCTTCTTTTGGCCTCTGTGGACACCAAGTGTGCAAGTCATACACAGACATGCATGTAAGCAAAATATCCATACATAGAAAATTTAAAAAGCAGCAGCAGCACCACCACCACCAGTAGCACCAGCAAGAGTCAGCATGGGCTTTTTGTGTGCATAATGGGATTTAATTCAGATTCTCATGCTTGGGTGGTAAGCACTTCACTAACTACACTATCTACCCAGCCCCTCTATTTTACTATTTTCAAACTTATTCTCACCATCATAATTAAATGAGTACATCTGTGGGGCCAGAGATTCTGAAAGTTGACTAGATACACAAGAAATAAGACTCAGTGCAGGGTGGTGGTGGCTCACTTCTTTAATCCCAGCACTCAGGTGGCAGAGGCAAACACATCCCTGTGAGTTCAAGGCCAGCCATCACTACAGAGTGAGTTCAAGGCCAGCCAAGGTTACACAGTAAAACCCTGTCTTGAAAAACTAAACTAACGAACAAACATATAGTCACTCCTGTTCTCTCCTCACAGTTAGAATCCCCAAATAATAAGCTTATTAGAAACAAGATAAAAACTAAATCTCCTACTCACGCTTCCAAAATACTTGTCAAGTAATTCCACATAACGATGGATTATTTCCAGGGTAATCAGTTCATTGTCCTGATCCTCAATAGCACAGCAAAAATATAGACTGGCATATCTGTCATGAAACAGAATCACAGAAAAATGTTACCCCCTATAATCATATTTTCTAAATATATTTTCCATGTCCTGTTGAACAAGTCCTCATGCTTATTATATTTATTCTTCTTTTAAAACAAGTTTTTTTCTAGATTACAAAAGCAATAAATATACAAGAGAAATCTTGGAAAACACAGGCAAAAAGAAAAGAGAAAAAGAAGTAACTCATTCATGTCTCTTAGAAGGAGTAATGGATCTTGCTCTTCTTTTCAGGTTTCTTTCTAAACATTTGAAAATATAATTGAACCAGTTTTTCTTAAGTTTACTTAATTAGAACAAAATATACAGTGTGATTGATTCAAACTACAAGCAAATGAAGGAGAAAACAAACTAGCTGTCAATATATCCCAACTGAAGGGCTTATTGACGATACTGTCAATGTTTTAGAACATGTTATTGAAGGATAAAATATTCACAGAAGCCTCAAATGTGCAAGTCTGTGGTCTCTCAGAGTAGACATTTCAATGTGTTCCCTCATCCCCAGTAAGAAGAGAAACAGGAAAAGTGAAACAGGGTACCATCTCTAACCTGAACAAGAACTTCCTCTTGCTCCCATCATAACCTTGTTTTGTTTATCTATTTAAAAAGCAAGACTGTTCCAACTTGTTCTCTCTCCATCCTCCCTAATCCATGTTCTTTAATAGCTTCTGAAGAGTCTGGCACAAATGATATAGGACAATTCTCAACCTTCCTAATGCTTCGACTCTTTAATTCAGTTCCTCATGTTGTGGTGACCCCCAACCATAAGATTATTTTCATTGCTAATTCATAACTGTAATTTTGTTGCTGTCATGAATTGTAATGTAAATATTTTTTGAGATAGAGGGTTGCCAAAGGTTGACCCACAGGTTGAGAAACAATGATACAGGAGCTTCTCTGAATTATGAAAACTAAAGATTAAAGGAATTGATATAAAAATGACAGACCAAAAGACAGATACAAATCATTTCTATGAATAGAATAACAAATAATTCTACTGCAGAGATTATTAATAGCAAGTTTGGAACAAGGTTCTTTATTTTCAAACTTCTGCCATGCTACTGTTAGACATCCAGTATGTATCTACTTGCTTCTTTAACCACAATATTGCCTCTTTGTTTACAAGTAAACAATATTTAAAGAGCAATTAAATAGTAGAAGGTCCTAAATTATACCAATCAAGAATTTAAAAATAAGCAGGGCTGATAGATCTAGGTACCAACCAAAAATACTTTAAAAAGAAAAAAATGAACTCCAGTAGTATTTCACTTTAGTTTTTTTGTCATTCTAGTGATAAATCCGGGGTCTCCTATACCATTCAGTGGCTACTTCAATCCTCTAAATGTTTACTTCACTACGAATGGGGAAAAGGCATCAACATAAAGAACTATTCCTTCCAGGTGAAGAGACAGCTATTAGCATGATAAGAACACCTCTTCAGAAAGCTGAGGAAGAATAAACAGAAGTACAATAGCAGGTACCATGGAGAGACTCACTATAAGTAAGGCACTAAATGTTAGTGAAGGCTTTTGCATATTTTACCATCTTATTCTCACAACATCCCTACCAAGATATCATTATTACTTGCATTTATAGGAGATCCAGGCTTAAATAACCAGATGAGAATAGAAATTTGACCCTGGAGCCCAAATTTTCGATTAAAAACCACAGCTGCAAAGTATATTAAAATAATCCTGCACCTGGTTAAAATTAAAATATGCCCAACGCAATATATTAAGAGCTTTGAAAAAGGGAAAGAGATAAAAAATGAAATACAGATTTAGTAAAGATTACCAAGAGAACCTGAAGAGTACTCCCTATTTTTAGGAACAAATGGTGCTTTCAAATTCAATATGAGCTCATGTTGTTCTCTTAGTAAAATTAATAATAGACTAGTAAGAGGAGAGGTATGTTTAGTTATTTTTAGCAGCATGGATTAGGGCTTACTCTAATTACTGGCACTCAGAACATCTGAAAGTGCCTATTCTTATATTCAAAACACATGACTTCTCTGCAGTCAGCTAAATATCAGCTGACTGTGCGTGAATGTAGCTAAACTATTCTCAATACCCACTGGTATGTCGTTAAAATTTCTTTTGTTAGTAAAGAAAATCAATAAGTACCCTTCAACAAATTCTCAAGCTAGTAACATGGGGATGCATTTTAAAATTAATTTTTAAAAGACATAAATTCAATTGCCTCTACTATGATATGTTGCACAAACTAGGCATATAATGCTCTGTTTCTAGTGGATATTCAGAAGCATTTATTTTAAAGGTGAGGAAACAAAGGCAAAAAAACGCAACAAAATATTCAAAGTCACAAAACTAGGTGATGGCACATGGGAACATATCATAAGTCCTCACATTTTCAGCCTGTCTTTTCAATGACTTTACCCTTATACCCCCACCGCTTCCTCCCACAAAGGGAAAATACGTATACCAAATGCTCAGTGAAGAAAATGAACAGGACAAATGAACAAAGACGACATTAAAAAAAAAAAAACACGTGCTAAGAAGGACAGTAAATGTGCTACAGCAGAATTTATTAGGAGCTCAGTAGACATTCTCTGGCTTAAAAGTTCTTATCTTCCAGCCTGAGCAGGGAAAACACATCACCTGATAATAACAAAATACATGGTTAAGTGGGAAGTAAATGAAGTTTTCAGTATGAAATGCGAGGGAGCCTATAGAAAAACATTATACACTCTGTATTTTATATATGAAACATCTCAATAAAGCTATTTTTCTTTTTGTTAATTCCAAATTTCATTTGAAAAAAAAACTTTGATCTAAATATCAGATCAGGTTGGAGTTCTCTTTTATCATTTCTGAAAAAGGTAGGGAGATCACCAGAATAGGCTGAGCGACAAGTCTACGAGCTCCAACCTGCTGTTTCCTTTTCTTCCTCTGAATGGCCCCATTCATGGGCTTGTTCTCTTGCTAGGATTTTCCTCCTCCACACGGGGGACTCCTTTCACTATCTAGAAATAAGCTTAAACTTCTCACATCTTTTATAAACCCTATCCAGGATTCCAGAATACAGATCTAGCCAGCAGTTACCACCTCTTCTGTCCTTGGCAAAGCTCTCCCAAATACTCTACACATGCGGTTTCAACTTCTCTATCTTCACCTCGTTATATCACGAATTCTGTCTCTACTCCACTGACAATGTTCTGGCAACAGGGCAATGCATGAAGTGCTTACTCTTAAGATTCTAAGAGCTGTTCACTTTTACTGAATTTCATGAACAGCTGGCATTAGTGTTTTACTCTCAAATTTATCTGCTCCTGGGCTTTACTTACCTAACATCACTCCTTTGCTTCTTTCTCATTTTGATCTGCAAGCCTCCTCTTTAGCCCTTCCATCTGCACCTGAATGCTAGTGATCTAATACTTTAAGTTTAATTGTCACCTTCAAGTTCCATGCCTATGCCCACCACATCCCATCAGAGAGCCAAGTGAACAAATATGGCCATATCAACTTGTCACCAAATTAACTGAATTCTCTAGCTTACCTTTCATCCCATAAGCCAAACTCTAGAAATGGAGGTGCCTCCACTGTACTCCCTCTTTCCTTGGTTGCTATCTCTGCTTCTTGGGGTGGCCAAGTCTACTGAGACTTACCTAGGTAACAGGTCTCCTTTCCAGCCTCTCAGCTCAGGACCCAATTATCATGCAGTCCCTCACTGATCCTGCAGGTGCCAGTCTCAGCCCCTTTCACTCCCCCAGCCAAGGTTTCACAGCAATCTTTTCAAAAATGCAAATCTAATCTTTATTTCTTCCCACATCTGTTTAAAACCATTGCCTCTACACTTAAGACAAGTTGTAGCCCCATGCCCATCACTAGTATATGACCTTGGGCCAAACCACTATTCACAAATTCTCATCTTTTATAAATTGAAATTTGAACAGTAACTGTTTTTCAAATTGAAGACCTCTCTCTAGTGCAGAGAGCAGAGGCCAATTGAGCCAGGGCACAGCTTCTTATTTTTCATTCCACAAAAGCAACTGTATTTCTACTTGTTTTAGTCAAGACTCTATCCCTGTCAAAAAGATATATATTTTGTGTGTGAGAGTGTGTACGTGTAGATTGTTCTAAGGCATTTCCCAGCTTTCAAATGCTATGATTTTCCTATGATCTTTCTCAACCAGTACCAAGCCAAACACTGAATTTAAAAAACCACCCAGACTGATGAAATTCATTATGAAATAAAGATAAGTCTAAAGCACCTAAGAGGGTTTTATGTCCTATAAATCTCATTTCTTACTCTGTCACCTCCTCCACCACAAAGCCCATCCATACTTGGAATGTTGTATCAGAAAATAGAAGAAAACATGATTTCTTTCCACCTTCATTGCATTTCCTACTGTTAGTTTTCTGTACACTCCCCATACAAGAGTGTTTTATATGAAGAAATGCTTTTATCTTAAATTCAGTAAATTATTCAAAAAAGACCAAAAATGGGAAAGAAACAAGAAATGTTCCCTCTAAAAACAGTCTATAATATAAAATAAAGATGTATAGCATTAAAGAAAAAAACTGTGTAAAAAGCTAATCTATAAGTTATTTTGCAACATCACTTTTAAAAAAAATCTATCCTTGGTAAAATTATCATATCTAAGCAGAACTCCGCCATAGCAACAAGTCTATTTGAAATTAAAAATACTACTAGCAAAGAGATCTTGTATAGACACAAGTACTTAAACATCTGTATAGTGAAATGGTCTATGTGCTCAGGGTCTTTATAAGTAAGATTAATATAGAAGTCAGATAAAAGGAATGCCAAATATCAGCTACTTGATAAATCTTTATAGATTTTTTGGAAGGATTATCACACTATTATCTATGCATGCCCATTATTTATCAAATTACTTAAAAATTTAAAATAGTGTCCCTACTACCCCTGTAATGAAATGAATTCATTGAATTTTTCTAAAATGGCTGTAATTATATAATTAATTTAATAATGATTACCCTGCTGCTAGCATTTTAGCTTTAGGCAAGCAATCAAAACAGCCATTATTTTTAAAAGGAAAGTTTTCCTTTAAACTAACTTATTTCATTGAAATATTTGTTAATCCTTGTTGATTGACATAAAAAGTCTGCAGTTTTCTCATTAGAGATAAACCTAATGTTTGATCATATTTCACCTTTCTGATAAATACAAAAATGATACCTCTTATAAACAATCTTCAGATCTCTCCACTCAAGGAAGCTACACATCTTAGGTTTCCGAGCTAAAACCGTTTGAACAAGTTCTCTTGTGATCTTCTTCTTCTCTTTGTCTGAGAGTGGGACATACCACTTCTGCAGCCGAAGCTTTCCCTGACGACTAAAAAGCAACATAAACTGCATCTGTTAAGATAAATAAAATCAAGATTACATACAATTACCTAGGAATTAAGAGTTAAGATCACATGGTTTTTCAGAGCTGCTTTGGGGATACAGAAAATACCCAGCCAAATGATTAGTAAGCCATCAACACATCTATTCAGGCTATAATAGCAGGAAATTCTTTTGGCAAGATCTTCTTACTATATGTAGGTAAGTGTAGAAGAGAGTGTATGGCAAGAAGAACAGGTGGGAATTTGGAGTGAAATTTTTGAAGAACTCTGATTATTTAAGAAACAATTTTCTCCTTGTGCTACACATTCCACACTATATGCATCAAAAGGCAACTGTAGACATCAGGTAGTTGATTTAGGTACTACCCCGAGACTATTCTAGTTCCAGGCTGAATTTCTTGCAGCCAGACTGATTATCACTTAAAGCACTCCCCTCAATTTATGCTAACATATGTAAGCAAAACAGAATATTAATCAAAAAGATCTCACAAACAACACATTTTCTTAACAAAAGCCTGATTTTTATGTTTGCATTTCACTTTTGTAAGATCTAACACAAATAAGCACTGGAGAACTGAATTAATGTAAAATGTGAAAGAGAATAATACAAGTCTGAAAGGCTTAACCAAAAGTTATTTATATTGAGACACTGCAGAGAATACTTAATTTAAAAACAAAATTTGAGACATTTCACAAAATACTTATTTTAAAATAAAAATACATTTGAATATATGCTGGATTCTAGTGTGTTTTGTACACACTAGACGGTAATTTGTATGTATTTACTTAGCATTTGCATGTCTGTTGGTCAGGCTACATTTTCTAAGGCAGGTATTTTATAATTCAACTGGTAAAAAGGAGCTCTATTGTAAAGCTAATTTGAAGGTAAATTCGGTTAGGTGTTCTCTTTTAACCCTTTTAAGTTCCTTTAACAGCACCAGCCAGTGCAAGTAAGACCCCAAGGCAGATCTTAATATTCACCACACCACCTTAAATTTGAACACCGGGAGGAGGAATTTACGTAACTAATATAAAATCAAACTGGCTCTAAATTTCGACAGGAAATTCACTTCGTAATATCCCCAAAAGGCTTCAAGAAAACATGCGGAAATTTATGGCGTAGCCATTTAACTTTAATGAAGTTAAAATTGGCTATTACCCACAACACGCTATATAATTCATTGATAGCAAAGTGCCGCCCATATAAGTTCTGAAGACAGCAGCATTCGAAGAGGACGACAAATAAAGCATCAACTGGACATTCAACGCAAACCGTTACTAGAACTTGGGGAAGGAAACGACTGGGTTTTCTCAAATCTTGGTGACCAGGAGAGAGGGTTTGCTAACGACAGGAGTGCGCTCTAGGCTATCTGTAGCAGGGTCCAGCATCCGCCCTACCACTTTGGAGGACCAGGAAACCACGCATTTTCCTTAAAACAAATGATGTGCTAACATGGGACGAAAACCGTGGCAGAAGTATTCCTTTTCCCTCGCTTTGATTTTGCCGCAAATCCCGGGACAAAAATTTCTCCAGATTGGTATTAAAACAAAAACAAAACAAAAAAAAAAACAATGGGCTCAGCCTTGGAATGGGCTCCGGTCCAGCATCCCTGGGGTCCCGCAGTCTTGGACGCCTCCCCTCCTCCCGGGACCACACTCCGTCACTGCCCAAAGCCAAGAGAGGTGACCGGCAAGGAGCGGAGCAGAGACAATGGCATCCACTGGCCCGCCC